TGCGAGCGCGTGCCAATAAGCAAACCGCGCGCGCGGTCCCATTCGGACGAATTGACGCGACTGTGGATCGTCGCACGAGAGACAGTCTCTCGAACGCCGCAATCTTCGCCTAGATCTTATCTTCCCGTAAATCGTAGGAGGTTCTTGTAACGTAAAAATCGCTCGCCCACGCTAATTCGCGCGTTCTTTACTTCCGTTAATTCAATTAGCCCGACGTGTTTCCGTAACGTGTTAGCGCGAATAATGAAGATCCCCCGTTGCAGTCTCAGCGCACGCCTCGCCACGATCGCTCGTCCGGATAACGCGCGTAACGATAGCAATCGCGCAAGAAGCAGCACAATTAAACGTAATTTTATTAAGGGTATATAATACTCGCGAACAAACGAGTCCGGTTCAACGCGTCGCGTTAACGGGATTGTAAATTTTCGGCCTGTGTGAACGAGTGTCCCGCGCAATCCGCGATTAGGTAAAGAGTTGACTCGTAATTAGCGAATGGCAAAGCCGCGAGCAGACGCTCAATACTCGCAGGGGTATAAAAGCGTCATAGCCACGCGTATTTTATATATATATATATATATATATATATGTATAAAGACAGGTGGGTGTAACGTTTATACGTGTGTAGGCGCGCGTGTGTACGTCTGTATATATTGGATGCAGAGAGCAGGGCTTGTTATGCGATCTTTTTCGTTAAATTATCATTCTCTGAAAGCGTATCGGATGGAATTCTCGGCTCTTTCAGTTTCAAAGAGCCAATCCTCGAAATCCACGCGAGACGCGAGATTAAATCGCGCCAGATTAAAGAGACGGTATTAACGCGCGGTGTTTCTACACGCTTTCGAGACCGCGGTCTCGCGACTGATTTTTATCGCTCATTTGGATTTGCCATCCGCGTACACGGCGTGCGGCACGCAGCCAGTGGTTTTCCAACGTTGTCGTCGCCGAGAGAGAGAGGAAGAGAGAGAGAGAGAGAGAGAGAGGAGGGGGGGGGGGCACAAGCCGAAATGTAAGCACAGCGCTCGGTGATACGCGATCGATTTTTCGAAACGGCGCGATTAGAACGGGAAGGGTGCGCGCGAGCGAGACGGCCAATCAAACTGTCATTTGTAATCAATTAAAAGCCAATAAACCCGGCGCTGATTGGACGACAGTCGCGGGAGTATGCCGCGAAAATGGGAACAATAATAGCGGATCATTAACAGCGGTATAGGGTTTATTTCTATGGGAGCACACGACGTCATCGTCGCGCCGCGTCGCGCCCGCCGGATTGTTGAATCCCGCGCTGGACGTTTCCAACGCGGGAGCCGTACGCCGATTGCACCCTCGACGTCGGATTAATCCAGCCGCTGTTTTCTAATTTCCCGTGGAGCATCGCTGTTCGTGTAACGACGCTACACCGCGGGTTTAAGAGCCCGCTCGATTTCCTGAGGATCGGACGGAGGCGTCGCGACGATGCGCGCCGTGAACGGGGCCGCGCGTTGTTACCCCGTGAAAATTATGGGGCATAAATTGGCCGGGGTTCTCCGCCCGCCCGTTCCACCCGGACGTGGAATCTGCCGGGACGGTTCTCCTGTTTAGGTTTAATACAGACGGGTAGTAAAATCGGAGTGATTACCGTTGCGCGCCTTCGAGAGGCGAGAGACGTCGAGTTTCGCATTTTAATCACGTTTCCTCGTGAAAAAGAATTCGCGTATGCTTGAAATCGCCCGATAATTAACAGTCTATTTCGTTCGAAAGCAGAGATCATTTCAACGTGGCTTTGTTTTTTTCGTTCGAGCTTGACGCGCGTATGAAAAGTCAAAAGCGACACTTTCGGTCTCGTTAGCCTCTCGCGTTCTTTACGCGCCTTAAACAAGTCCGCGTGCTCGGAATTATTTGAGGACACGTAACGCAGAGATTAGGACGGCGTTACCGCCGGGAATACCGCGCGAGGACGTGGGTACATAGACGCGAAGAGCATGTCGCTCGTAATAGCCGGTATAGGAGGCGAGACTCGCGATGCCTGGTGCACGAAATTGCTTGCCAACCGGCCTCTTTTTCCGGCCTGTACACCGACGCGATTCGTGTAATCGTGCACTCCGCTCCGTTTCTCGCCGCGCGGCACACGACGAGAAACGCCGCGCGGCACACGAGGGACGGGGGCCGCAAGTGCGGGGTTGTAAATGCATCGGTGAGATTCGCTTCTTTTTTTCCACCGACGCGATATACGGCGGATATCGTCCGCGATATTATTATACGTCGGGGCTGAATGCGGCGGTATTAATTCAACGTCGCGATACGCGCGGAGTGATCTAAATGAGATTTTAAAGATGCAAGAACGCAGGAGGCACCCTCCGGTTTCCACGACGCTTCTCGCGGAAGCGAAAGGTAGCGCGTCCAATCTCCTCGCGCTCGTATGACGCGCGCGCGCGAGATGCAAGGGTACTCACAGGGTGCCGATGCATCGCGTCCGATAGCTTCGTTAGTTACTTGGCGCGTACGTCGCGGGGGATAAAAAGAAAACGGCGATACTTGGGGGGCGCGACGTCTCGTCTCGGTCAGGCTGAAGGGTGGCGGCGGAGGTGACGCGAGGGGGGTGGGGGGGATAAAGCGCAGCCCACGCTCGCGGATGCATGCGACGCGAACCCGAGTGGCGGCGGATGGGGTGTGGGGGCGCGGAAGAGGGATGGTGTAGGTGGTGTAGAAACGGTTGGGAGTGGTTGGTTTGACATGGGGCTCCATATAATCAAACCAGCTCCCGTATTTATGGTCGAGAGCCATCCACGGTACCTGGCGTGTACCCATTCCTCATTCCTGCGTTCTCCCTCGTCTCCTCCTCCCCCCCCTCCCTTTCTCTCCGCTCGACACAGGGCTATTAAATTTGGAAACTCTATACCTCCGTTCACGTACACACACACGTACACGCACCTGCCGTAGCCGCCCGTGCTCGCTGGCGCTCTGCGTTTTCGTCTCTGCCGCGCGTCGCGGCTCAAACCTACTGCGTTTTATAAGCGCATCAAAGTTAATGGCGGAGGCGCTCCCTCCGCAATTCCGCGCGAAGCGCGTCCCTCCGGTTTACGTCCCCCCGGCGCGGGGGGTGAACCGCGTCTGCTCACCCCTTCGCGACGCGGGGAGGGCTGCAGGTGCCAAGATCGTATTTTTGTTTACAATCCTCGACGAATCTGTACGTCGTACGTACCGTCGGAATACGGTCCGCGGCGTCGCTTTCGACCCGGGCGATATCGTGGTGACGACGCGACGGCTGCCGCGCATTTTGCATCCGCGTACAAATGCGACGCATAAAAGATCGCTGTAATTCGGTCGGCTCCTCTCCGTCCCGTCCTACCTTCCGCGTTTTACTGCTGCTCGGCGCGCGGGGGGGGTGGGAGGGGGAGCGAAGGGGGATGACTGTATTAAAAGCCTGCCTGCGACGTCGCGCGAAACGAGCCTCCATTGGCACTCTCGGGACGTGTTCGCGCGGGATGCTCCGATTTACGAGTTACGTGTCACGTTATATTATCATCGATCTTTATGCAGAATCACCCGCGAGGTGGTTTCCTCGAGGAGAATCGCGGAGAAAGCACCGCGACTGTGATTAATAGCGCGCTCGCGTGCGCCTCCGCGGGCCTCGATTCTCTCGTTCCGCCCGTTAAATCAAGTCCCCGGGGATTGCCCGGCCGTTGCGTTACGATAATCAGGCGACGCGCGAGTACGCGCCCATTGCACGTTACGCCGCCTGTAACGCCGGGCGATTATTGCCGGTAACTCGGCGTGATAATCCGCGTTTAGCGCGCGTTCGCGCTATCTGATGCTGAGCGACTGTTGCGTCACGTGTGCGTGCGTGAACGATTATAATTCAACTTTGCTATCGCTCTCGATCGCGGGGTGTTCGCGCACGTTGTTGCTCCGCCGCGCGTATTGCACTCTGAAAAAAAAGAAGACAGCCATTCATTTTGGGGCCCACAGTTAGTAAGTGAATTCGATTGTTCGTAACTCTACTCTGGGAACAATTTTTATCGTTCTTTTGTAGTTAAGCAACTTAACATTTCAGTGCTAGTGCCTCTTAAGTGGAAATTATCTTTGCGTTACTGAATATCGACGGAACTAATTGAGAGAATTGATTAGTGTTACCTAAAAATCTTGGATGTGCAGGGTGTCCCATTTTAACTTGGACAGTAAAATATCTCAGGAACTAAGCCCAGCAAACAAAAGTGTTTCAGACAAAAGTTGTACGGTTTCGAGTGGGACGTAAAATGGTGTCATTAATTTGAATAGTTGCTTGAAGGTCATCTTAAATTGTTTAACTGGAACCCCCTATTGTTTATTATACTTGTTGTTTATTATCTTATTCTACTAATTAACGTGGACGACTTTTGTCTGAAACATTTTTTTATTTGCCTAATACTTTTTAAGATATTTAAGAGAAAATCTATAACTTTTTCAATGTTTAGCTTATGATATCTCGATAACTGTTTGTCGGAGGGAAAAGGGGTACAAGACTTTTTGACTTGATTTGGTCTCAGGAATATGCTGTTGCAATAGTGCTCCAATTATGTATGTTACAATACACAAAAATTTTCAATAATTTCAGTTGAATATTGAAAAAGTTATAAATTTTCTCTCGAATATCTCAAAAAGTATTGGGCAGATAAAAATATTTCAGACAAAAATTGTTCACATTAATTAATAGAATAAGATATTATAATAAACAATAGGGGGTTCACGTGACCTATAAGCAACTATTCAAGGTCAAATTAATGACACCATCTTATATCCCCCTCGAAACCATACAACTTGTGTCTGAAACATTTTTGTTTGCTAGGCTTAGTTTCTGAGATATTTTACTGTTCAAGTTAAAATGGGAGAAAATTTTTAAATTAAAAAGTACATCCTGTAGATAGAATAGCTAATTGCGATTTTTAGTTACGCGAGGTAAGAGATTAGAGTTACGAACAATCGAAATAATTCGATTACTAATTTTGGGCCCTAAAATGGGTTGCTAACTGTCTTTTCTTTCTTAGAGCAGGCAGAAGCAAAGCGGCCGCTTACGTACAAGTTTCGAATTGGGAGCAATGAGTTCGAACCAAGGTCTTTGTAAGTACTGCTTATTGCGATTAATATGACCACATACCTCAGTGGTCGAATTGGTGAGACGCCCGCCTAGACGAAGTCCAGGTTCAAACCCTGGCTGAGGTAATATTTTTCGCAGTAAATTTTCTATGTTAAAAATGCAAGGTCTTTGTGTCGGAGGAAATATATTGAATTTGTCACCCCGGATAGGCCTGAAAAGAGTCGCTATTTCCTTTTTAGCAGTAAAGAGGCCAATGCGAGTGTGATCAACGGTAGATCCTCTTCGGCCTAAGAGGTTTCAAAGAGGCTGAAATATTTTACTACATTCTCTTTGAGGAATTTCTCTTTTACTATCCGGACCTCAAATTGGAGTTTCAAATCCACTCCGAGGTCCAAATGAAGGCAGAATAGTGATTCTGGTACGTAAAGCCGATTGTCGAGTCGTAGCGTTCTGCAAAATTAACGGCGCTATCGATGCTCCGCATAAATGAACGAAATGCGCGCAATACTCGATATGCATCATTATTAATTGATCATTATCCGAAATCAATTAGCCGAAATATTTTATGGAAACATATCTTGCTGTCAATTAAGCTTTGCTCTTTATACCGATACAACGTATGATGGAACGGTCTGTATCTAGAAATTTATTATTTTCGTCGCCTGACGTTCTCACATTAATACGCGTGATAGAAGGATCTTTGTATTTCGACTCTTTCGCCGAAATATGAAATTGTCCCCGATTTGTTCGAGAGATGCGAGGTAGACGTGGTTTATCGAGGGACGCTCGATGCCTTTCTCCTACTTTTAAAAAATATATTATAGCCCGCGGTACTTGGTTACCGAGCCAGCAGCACGTTAGAACGCATCGGAGCGTAGCTTTTCTCGGACATAGCGTATTTACGCATGACGTTACACGGTCAGATGCGCGACGGGAGAGCTCGCCGCGACGGCGTCGCAACCCGCGAGGATCGTACGCGGACAGCGGGGTTTACACCTTCGGTTATGCGGGCATTAAAGCCGCGCTTTAGCGCTCGCGTTACCAAACGTCCAATCCTGAGTGTCACTCTCGCGGCTCGTCGGTTAAAGCGCGTGGGCTAGATTTTATTCGGCTTTTAACACGACGATGGTGCGCCGCGCCGGTCATTCATTTCGTTCTTCGCCTCTGATCGAGCGAACGCACGCTCGCGAGGGCGCGTAATTTTACACGCGCGTGTCCCTGACGTACAGATCGAATTTACGAACGGCGCGGACGAGCGAGAGCTCCACCCTTTGTCCCGTTTCCGACTGTTATCTTGCCACCTCGACATTCATTCCCGCTCGTCTGACTTCTCTTCCTCCGCCTCGCTCCCGGAAAATCTCTGGGAAAATTTTTTACGCGTCCCTCTGAATTTCCCTGCGTCCTCCCCGCGGAAGATAATCTATTGCCATCGGGTGTGTACGTTTCATAATCGATTCGCAGGGAGGACATAATTGGGTCGCGATGTTCGCCGGTCAACTCCTGTCATCTGGTAGATTACTCCGTTCCGTGTTTTTCGTCCCGCAGAACTTTTTTGACTCGTCACCTTTCGTTCACCTCGTTAGCGCAAAGAGGGGGAGCCTGCATGGACCTCGTAGCGAGGTTTTATTCAACGACTTCTTTCGTATACAGTTCTGGATATTCCCGCATTTTGCTGTCTTACTAAGAATCAGTTTATCGATCTTCGATACGAGATCAAAGATAACAGCGGTCCGTTTAAACATCATTGTTTTTCGCAATTATATCTTGTAACGTTATTTATAATCTGTATATCCGTTATATCACGAGAATAAACAAACCGATACGTAGGATTTTCGAGCCGGAGTCTATCTCGCGTCGCTCGATTTTCGTCCGTTCGATGACGACTTTTAAAGCCGCACGCGCAAAAATGCAATTTACGCATTCCATTCGGATGAAATTTCATTCGTGCGTTATGCCGAATTCGAATTATAATATATTTTTAATCTCTGAAACACGTTTCGTCGTATCAATTACTCGAGGTAAAGAGAGGCGGAGTGGCTCACGTTCATTTGTATGTCGCGTTAATTTCCACGGCGATATTTCGAGCGTGGCGAAACGAGAGAGAGAGAAAGAGGGGGGGGGGGAGGGGAGAGCACACACTCACCGTGACACGTGGATAAACCATAAAGCCCCGTTGTCCGCCACCTTCAAGTCTGATAAACAATGTACTCTCTGCGTCTAGAAACATTCTATTTTGTAGCCGATAAATATTATATAGTACATTTAAGGAATTTGTGCAAATTGATAAATTGTACACTATACGTCGTACAATCGTGTGCAGTGCGACAAATTTTTCAAGCGCTTCGATTTGCCTATACAGGGTGTCCCAGGAGGAAAGGTCAATATTCTGGTAGGTGATAGTATCGGTAATTTTAAGCAAAAATGTTCGTATGAATACACGTCCCATTCCCCACTGTTTCCGAGACAGAGCTACTCGAATGTCTCGCGTATTCACTTTTCTTCTGTACACTTCGCCCCTCCATCCAATCTCACAGACGTCTGCGAGAATCTACTCTTACATGTCTGTTGACTGTTGTGCCGGTAACATTGTAGAAATGTTCACAATGCCTCGCATGTTCGCAAATGTCGAACGAGCAACACGTTAACGGTGGAATTTTTGCAAATTTCTTACGATCTGCAAAAATGTATCACTTGAGCAATAAATATTAGAAATAGTACGTAGTATTTTCTTTTTGTCGGTAATTGTGCAACTCAAATAGCTTTATCGCGGAAACAGCGGGGAATGGGACGTATATTCATATGAACATTTTTGCTTAAAATCACCGATACTATCACCTCCCAGAATATTGATCGTTTCTCCTGGGACACCCTGTATACACCAGAATGTTCCTAGACGCAAAGAGCACATTGTACATCAGGCTTCAATATCCCATCGCGCGTTGATCCTTGACGCTTCTTCCCGTATAGCGAGGTAAAACAGATTTTACGTTTCTCCGAGAGCATCGAGCGCGCGTCTCTACGCCGGTACGTACTGTTTATGTCATAACTGTACGGTGTGTAGACAACCACGGGCCGCGCCTCGTCGCGGCTTCTGGCGAACCGATTCTGGCGAAACTCCCGCCGCGGGTTCCGCGTTGGACGATAAACGGCGGATAAACGCCACGTTTCGCCGCGCCGGTGTTTTACAAGAATCCTCTTATATTACCGCGGGCAACGAGCCTCGCCCGCGCCGTAGCGGACAAGCGGAATAAGCACCGCGGGGATGAGAGGAAGTGCACCACCGCGTCTCGTGTTTCTCCTCTCTTTCATCCCGAACGGCGAACGTTCTCCTTATAGGTCAGCCGCGCATAATGCAACTGTGCGCGCTATCAGTTTCCTCATCCCTTTTTATTGGAGCACGAGAGAAGTTGTGCGACACGGAGGCAAGCGCACCCGGTGAAGGTGTACGCGCGCATCGGGGGGGAATAAGCTTGCATACGGCCCGTCGGATGTGCACGCTGCGCACGCCGATGCAAAAGGCGACCGGGAAAGTGATGGTGTTCTATTTACGAGGCGCGTCGCCGAGATCGAGAGCGGACCTGCACGAGCGGCCGATTAAGGTGGTTTTGTTGCACGAGCGGACGACGGGAAGAGAGAAGTGTTTAGTCTCTCGAGAACGCGGCGTTTATTCCCGCCTTCGGGCAAGGCAGACCTTCGAAAATCGATTTAAAAGGAAATACTCGAGGATATAATCGCGTGTAATTTGTCGGCGCTAATCGAGGGGAATCGGAGTTAAAATGTAGAGCGAGAAAAATGAATCGTAGGACGGTCGATGAAATGTATTTAGATCGAGCGGTCCAATGTCGAAGCGCCAGACTAAAAGAGATACCACGTACGTGTAACATAACGCGGCGTGTATAGAAAGTTCCTTTTTCTTACTTCAGAAACTACTCAAGTTCTCGGATTTAATTACGATAGCGTAAAGAGAGGAGAGTGCCGGGAAGTGAATGCACGGCGCAGAGAAAGGGAGAGGACGCGGGAATTGGAGCAAATACAGTTCGGTCAGTCGAGGCTAAATTTATTTGCGATGTAAGGTGGGAGCTTTCGTAACAAGTACAGCGTAGAGAAAGCATAAAATGAGGCAAGTGGCGAGGGGGAATCGAAGGCCAGAAAAGGAGTACTATGTCTTGGCCAAGAGTAAGCGGCCGTGCCTTCTAAAGCGGGACGAAAAAGGATGAATAATGCAGCAGTCGCGGGCCGTATACCCGTAATTATTAGAAACCTATCGACGGCGTATCTGAATCGTCGTTAAATCGTAAAAACGACGGAAGGTCGGCGACGAAAGCAGTCGGACACTTAAAATAATTTATAGTTGACGTTGATAGCCCAGCCGCGCAAACATACTCGGCCTCTACGACATTTTCCGAGTAACGGCGCGCTTTCGTTGAGAAAACCGCGGGATACAAAGCGATGCCTCTCTGATTTCATTGAGCTTATTAGTCACGTTGCCGGGTATCTTTGAACGAACGTGGAATGGGGACGGGAGAATTCCGCGGACCGTCGGGCGAGGGACGACAGTCTCGGCAAGTTCCGTCCTCTCCGGGAACCATGGCGGGAGACGTGATAACGATCGCGAGGAGCGCCAGGCGTGGGCGGCGCGCGTTAAAAAGTCACGTTTCGCCATATTTCGGGGGCGGAAAAACGGACGGGCGCGGAAAATGGAGCGCGTTCGCCCGGGCGTCGTTGCCGCGACCTTAATTAATCTGTCCTCGTAGCCGCACGCCGTCAGCCCTCGCCGTGTAAACGGGACACGATGACGCGCGCGCGCGCGCGCATATAGCTTGTGGGAAAGGAACTTACTTGGCCGGAGTGCAGGTTCCGTAGGGTTACCCTCCCGTTCCCCCTCGCCCCCACTTACTAATCTACCTTCGACAACCCTGCGGTGGGAAGTTTGATCGACTGAATTGCCGGCGGACTGTCAGCAACACCGACCGTTCTTCGAGAGTCCTCTCGCTTATGCGCCTCCGTGAAAATCACCGCAACTTGGAGAGCGATCTCGCGAGCAAATCCGATCCCGCGGTCGCGATCCCGCCGCTGGTTGATTCGCTCGCG